CAGTAAAACCCACACAGAAGGAAATTTTTTTTATCTCTCAAAATTAAAAAATGCATATATCTGCTGAGCCAGTAATTCATTTATAAGAATTTATGCTACAAATATAGTCTCACCTGTGTAATGACCGGCACATTCAAGGCATTTCATTGTGGTGTCGTAATAGTGAAAGATTCAAATCACCATATATATTTGTCAGTAGAGGACAGGTTAAATATGGCACATTATACAGTGGGATCTTTTGCAGCTATACACATGTGGAAATATTTGTGGATATATCTGCAGACATACCATTAAATGAAGGAAAGCACAAACGTGTGTATCCTGCAGTACCATTCCTGCTCTCTATATGTGTGTATTCATACAATATGGATTTGTTATTTGTTTGTTTGTTTGGTTTCTTTAGACAGGGCCTTGTTATATAGACCAGGCTGGTCTCAAACTCACTAGCATTTTGCCTCAGCCTCCTGAATGTTGGGATTACAGGTGTGTACCACTATGCCCTGCGCTATTCATAGCTTACATTGTATGTGCTAGAATGTTTCTGGAAGGATACAAAGATAAATAAGAAATTAGTAACAGTGACTGTCAATAGAAAAGGAAACTAGAAGATGATTGGACATAGGGACTAGAGGCAGATTTTTCAATGAATATCCTTAAGTACATTTTGATTCTTTTTTTTGCAATACTAGGATTTGAACTTAGGGCCTTCTGCTTGCTAGTCAAGAGCTCCACCCAATTGAGCCACACTCCCAGCCCTTTTTGCTTTAGTTTGTTTTTAGATATGGTCTTGCTCTTTTTCCTGTGCCAGCCTTGGACTGAGATCTTCCTACCTCTGCCTCCCATAGAGCTGGTATTACAGGCATTTACCACAAACACCTGACTTTATTTTATTTATTTATTTTTTTTAATACCTGGATTTTTTTGTTGAGGTAGAGTTTTATTAACTTTTTGTCCAAGCTGGGTTTGAACTGAGATCCTCCTATCTCTACCTCTCAGGTACTGGGCACAGTTTTGTGCCACCACACTTGGCCCATTTTGATTTTATAATCATGTAAATACTTTATTTAAAATTAGCAAACTAAACCAGATGTGGTGGTACATGCCTGTAATCCCAGCACTTGAGAGGCTGAGGCAGGAGGACTGAGATTCAAGGCCAGTGTGGGGTACACAGTGAGACGCTGTCTCCAAATCTTTCTCTGCCAAAAAGAGAAGAATTTCAATTAGTAACTTAGAAGAATGGAACCTGGACATGGTGGTACATACCTGTAATCCTAGCACTCAGGAGGGCCAGGTGGGAGGATGGAGAGTTTGAGGCCAATCTGGCTACATAGTGAGACCTGGTCTGAAACCAAACTAAACCAATTAACCAACGAGCCACAGTGCTTACAATTATCTCAATATTACAATTAAAAATGCCCAGATTGTCAAAAGCCTTAAGTGGGCTGCTGGGCCTGCCTTAGGGTCTGAAAAGTTCTGGGAATAGCTCATGTTGTAAACAGTCTTTCGTGATAAGAAAGGATGTGCTGAGAATTTCATGGCTTTTACTTCTCTTTGTACAGCAAGAAGTGAGCATACCTAGTGAGAATAAGGAAGATGAGTTAAAGATGTGAGAAGAGGCTAAAATAAAGGATTTGTGAGGTATATTCTAGGGTCAAGTGAAGTTAGAAACCATAAACTTACTAAGGTGCCAGTCAGTCTGGGATTTTCTTCAGGAAGGCTCAAGTCTGGGCACAGTTTAGGGGGTAGGTCTGGGTGTGGGAATTGAAGTGCTTTGAATTAGAAAAATTACATGAAACAGGCCAAACTGGTCCTTGAGAACTTAGGACTCATTAGATTTGCCACACTTCTAGAGTGTGACTCTTTGGAGCACAGGTACTTTTCCATGGAACTAATCAGGGTTGGGGGAGTGACAGTAATTGATGAAACAGACCCCTAATTGATTCATTTAAAATAAAAAATACAATCCCCAGCCAGCCCCCAAATAAAATAAAATTTAAAATTTAAACACTCCCCCACAAGGTAATCTGAAAAACGCATAGAATGGTATCTACTCCTATTCTGGGTTACTTTTATCAATTTAGGGAAGTTTTCTTTTTCCTTTTGGTGGTATTGGAGTTTGAACCCAGGCCTTTTTCTGGGGGGTGGGGTTACTGGGGTTTTGAACTCAGGGCCTCACACTTACTAGGCAGGTGCTTTAACTCTTGACCCACTCTGCCAGCCCTTTTTATGTTTTTTTTCTTTATTGTTGCACTGGGTGGGGGTACCTTGCTTTTTTATGTTTTTGAGATATGGTCTCACAAACTATTTGCAGAACTATTTGCCTGGGCTGGCTTTAAATCCCAATCCTCCTGATCTCTGCCTCCTGAGTAGCTAGGATTATAGGTGTGAGTCACTGGTGCCTGGTTGAACTCAGGGCCTTGTGCTCTGCCACTTGAGCCATGCCTCCAGCCCTTTTTGCTTTTAGGATATATTTTTTTTTTTGCTCACAGCTGGCCTGAACTTGTTGAGATATGGGGGTCTCAATAACTTTTGGTCTAGACGGGCTCAAACTATGAGCCTCCCAACTAACAGGGATTATAGGTGTAAGCCACCACATCTGGCCTAGGGAATTTTTTTAATATTAGACTTCACTGTCCCATATTTGCATATATATTTCTCCTAGTTTTTATAATGACTTTTGCTATGTAATTTTTATTTCGAAATTTATGCACTTAAATGACTTTATAATTTATAATTTTCCCCCCAGTGTTTATCTCAAGATTATATAACTTTTCTCCTAAATTCTTAATTTGTTTTCCTTTTTTTTTGAGACAAGATCTATGTTGCCCAAACTGGTATCAACCTCCTTGGCTCAAGTGATCCTCCTGCCTCAGCCTCCCAAGTTGCTGAGACTATAGACCTGCAACCACCATGCTCAGCTAGTTTATTTCTTTTAATAAGACTTTAGTTTTATTCTGTACTTTTGGTCACTGTTGTTTTCTTTTTTCTTTTTCTTTTTTGTTTGTTTTTGGATATTTTCTTCCACCTCCATTCCAATTAGACATTTGCTTAGACAAAGGAAAAGTATTGTTATTTTCATCCGGCCCCTAAATTCTGTTAATTCTTTTGGGACTTGTATTTTTTTATACTTTATATAAATACAATAATAGCTCCTGAAAAATAAACACAATTTTTGCCTGATGTTTATACTAGGAAGGTCTTCTTTAACTATATGATGCTGCTGCAATGCTGTGCCACTATCTTTTTTTTTAGATGCTTGTGCTGCTGCCCAAGGCTGCCCTGAGTGGCCTCCAAGGAACCAGACAAAAGCTGTCTATGAGAACACCCCATGACTGCTTTGTTCAGGCGTCATGGTTGACATCACAATGCAGTGCTTCCTGGTCTCTTAGCTCTCCTAAACTACACTTCAATGAGTCTTTCATACACATCCCTCCAACTCACTGCTGTAATTAGACCAGTGAAGTTCCTAAGCAGGGGACAGCCCCAGCAGCAGATCAATCATATCCTTCCTCTCTGAAGGAGAGATGTTCTCAGAGAGGACTTCTCTGACCACACTATCTAATGAACCTGTCTTAGTCACTATCACATTATCTAGTTTCACTTTCTTCATAGCACCAATTATACTGGCAAGAACATTATTTGTTGACTTATTTGTCTCTCCACGGTAGACTATATACAAACCTTATTTACCCTTTTATTCCAGTAGCTACAGTGTAAACCAGTAGGCCTTCAATAAATATCTATATAACAAATGAATGCTGAGTTTTCTGGAAAAAAATTGATATCATGCTTAATTGATTTTTATCTTTTTTTTTTTTGGCAGTATTGGGGGTTGAACTCAGGACTTGACATTTGTGAGGCACAGGCACTCTACCACTTGAGCCACTCACTCTACCAGTCTCCAATGGTTAGTACTGATCTTCCGGAAAAATTTTCAGGTCAAAGTAAATGGGGTTACTGGAACAACATATATATATATATATATATATGTGCATATAAAAATATATGCGCAAATTATTGTGAGACCATACACCAAGGGAGATAACCATCCAGGTAGAGAGAGATTTAACCTATCTCAATATTCCGATTTTGCATTTGATGTTAGAATCTTACAGATGAACTAGAACCTACTTTATTTTGTCTTTTCTTTGAGGCAGCCAGCGTCCAGCTGCTGCCTATATGGCCTAAGCTGGCCTGAAACTTGGGATCCTCCTGCCTCAGCCTCCCAAGTGCTGGGACCACAGGCATTTTTCTCCCCATTTAGTATAAAAGCTTATCTGAGTTGCATTTCAAGTGCAGTACAGGCACATTTACTACTTAAAAAAAAAACTTACCGGGACTTTGTGGCAAACAAAAAGAGTGGCAGCTCACCCAGACATAGGATTCCCAAAGCAGCTTTCAGCCTATCCACTGTTTTCATTTAGCGGGGCAGAGCTGTCTACAGAAACGCTTTGATTTTAGCGCCATGATTTTGCCGGGTTTTTATAAATTACCCTTCCCTCTTCTACCACCTTGGATTTATCAGTCCAATCTGATGACGCTCCAGGGTTAGGTCAAAATCACCATTTGAGACATTTAAAGGCTACTTTATATACGAAAGGCCTTTTCAGGGGTTCCCCCTGGGACGGGGGACAATTTAGCTTACAGTATAGGCGCTGTCTGTCCCTATCTGAGGACAAAGTGTCCCATCGTGATGTCTAACTCTTGCCCCCCTCCCAAAGTCTGCAGGACAGCTAAGAGCGTTTGCGGGGCTCCCCCCTCCCCCACCTCCAGACGCCGGCGGCCACAGAAAGACCGGAAGCCCAGTCTCCGGGCGTCTAACCCTTTAGCACCTCGACCGTCGCCCAGCGGCGGCGCGCCCGCCCGGTGCATTGTGGGCGTTGTAGTTCCGCAGGCCGGAACCTGTTCGCCACAAGTCTGTGACACCGCTTTTCCTCAGCTCCCCCCTCCCCCCTCCACACCTCGCAGGGCCCCTCCCCGGCCTCAAGCTGGGCCTCCCCGGCTGGGGCGCGGCGTTCCGACAAGTCAGCTGTTTCTACCCTGAGCACCAAGGCGGAAGCCCGAGGGGCGCGGGGAGGAGCTTCGCGCGCCGAGTGAACGCCCGCCTTTACGTGCTCGTTCGTCTCCCGACCGCTGCGCGCGAGCCCCGTGTCCCCGCGGTGGGCGGCAGCGGCGGCCTTGGTGCAACGCGGTGGGGGTTGGAGGGAGCCCGCGGCAGCGGCTTCAGAGAAATGGCGGAGACCGTGGCGGACACCCGCCGGCTGATCACCAAGCCGCAGAACCTGAATGACGCCTACGGGCCGCCCAGCAACTTCCTCGAGATCGATGTGAGCAACCCGCAGACTGTGGGGGTCGGCCGGGGCCGCTTCACCACCTACGAAATCAGGGTCAAGGTGAGACGCCTTTCCCCTTTCGGGAGAAACCCCTTAGTGGCCACAGCCGCCCAGGCCTGGACGTCCCGCAGTCCCGCCGGGCAGCCCGGTGGTGGGCAGGGGTCGCGATCCGTTGCCCCCTCCTCGGGCTGGGCTGGTGTCCCCTTGGACCGGAGGGCGTGGGTTGAGCGCCGCCGGCCGTTCCAGCAGCGAGCTGGCAATGACATTTGAGTTGGAAAGAAGCAGATCTTTCCAGAACACGGTCCTTCCCTGCAAAGGGAGTTCAGTGTGCCTGGGGAGGGAGGTTTGCGCAAAGTCTTCTTTCCCTGGACCCTGCCTGGAGGCGGCTTGGCCAAGCTGGCCGTTCCAGACCCTTCTCGAGCCACCAGACTAACCTAGGTTGTGCAAAACTTGATGGAGTTCACCTACGCCTGGCAGGTTTGTGCTGGGAGTGAACTGAGGTTGGAAGCGGTTGACCTTAGCGTCTGGCCTTCATCCTGCTGAAAGGCCTAGGTGTGGGGACTGTCACCTCCCTCGTTATCCAGAGCTACAACTGCTCTGTTCACTTCGGGAGCTTGCCCTCTTAATTTCGAGATTTGCACTTCACTGAATGAAGGAATCAGCTGAAGTAGAAACAGACACTTACAGTTTCATAACTAGTATTTGTTGGCAATAAGTAATTCAGATGATTTGAAAGATGCTGATTGAGAATGGCGCTTCATTTTCACCCTGTAGTGAAGAATTAAAGACCTTGCCCATGTGTGGAAGTATGTTTAAAAATTAGTTGCATTAAACCAGCCGTTAAAAAAATTCTTTTATTAAAAATTCAGCACAAGATGATTTTGGCGTTAGAGTAATCCGAATTTACACAGGTTATTGCAAACAATAAAGTGTACTGGCCTAACCATTTTTAAATGTGTGGTTCCATAGGGTTAAGCATATTCACGTTGTGAAACTTAACACGCTATTTAAAAATGATTCTTATGTAGCTAGTGTTGCTGAAAAAGAAGGTTAATCATCAAACTTTAAAATATGAAACTTAGTAATGTTATAAGTCACCCTTGCCTCCCTCTGGATGTACAAACGTGACCCATACAATGTCTTTTTGTGGGCAAACTGCAAAGTTTCAGGCTCCAGTACACCTAGGGAAGTACATTCTCAAATAAGCCAAGTCAAAAAGTGAGGTGGGGTTTTTTTTGTTTGTTTGTTTAACTTTTGGAATGATTTTGAATTGTCTTTGATATATAACAAATGGGGTTCACTGAAAAGAACTTCCTCTTTTGCCTCTGTTCACCAGCACACTTTCCTTTTTTTCCCCTGTGCTAACACAAAACTTGGGATTCCTGTTTCTAAACTTCATAGCTCATACTTCCTGTCACACAATTGAGTTGGAATCGCCTGCCTACACTTCCTCCACTTAATAACCTTGTGCTTATCTTGCTGAGTACACTATTAAATAATTTCTTTTTAAAGAAATATATCTGATACCTTATTACCAAGCAGATGATGTGACTATAATGTAAATATAAGTTTCTGGCATGGTCATTTGCATGATATAGAAAACAGTCCTTTTCAAAGTGGTTAGTAAATTAAGGAATTAGCAGATTATACACCTACTTGGCTTTTTTTTTTTTTTTTTTTGGTGGGATGGGATTTGAACTCAGGGCTTAACACTTGCCAAGCAGGCACTCTACAGCTTGAATAACACCTCCAGTTCACTTTACTCTGGTCATTTTGGAGATGGGGTTCTCTCAAACTATTTCCCCAGGCTAGCCTCAAACTGTAATCCTCCTGACCTCAGCCTCCCAAGTAGCTAGGATTACAGGCATGAGCCACTGGCACCTGGTTTGGTTTTTATTTTTATATAAATCAGTTCATTGCATGATAATGACTGTTATAGTCAGAAATTCAGTACTCAATAATAAAACATTATTGAGTTGTTTGGTTTTTTGTTTGTTTTTTAATTTTTATTTTATTCTTATGTGCATACACTGTTTGGGCCATTTCTCCCCCCCCCCCAGCAGTAACTATTTTGCCCTTATCTCTAATTTTGTTGAAGAGAGAGTATAAACAATAATAGGAAGGACCAAGGGTTTTTGCTAGTTGAGACATTATTGAATTTTTAATGCTTATGAAATGCTGTTGGAGTTTCTCTTAGTATGTAATGTATTAACATAAAATTCAAGACACCATGTACTAAGACATTAGGCCTTATTTAAGTAGTAAGTGATTTTGATAGTAATTATGGTCTTCTTTAAGGTAAATAGCCATGAGATGAGTGTGTTAATCATTTTGTAATTTTATTTGTTACTACTTTTCTAAACTGACTGTTTTCTCTTTTCCCTATTGCCTGCCTTTTGCTGTTGAATTTGCCATGTGGAAAACCATTTTATGTTTCAGAGTTTTGGCCCTTAAACTATCTTATAGTTACTGTAATTCTGGTCTTGAGAAAAATGTTCAATTTGACAGGATCTGATTGAAATTACTCTCATTCACAGGGTAATTTTATTTGGATGGTGGCACTTTAGAATGCAAGTTTCCCAATCTCCATTTATCTTTTTTGGTTTGAGAATAGTGTTTAAGACTATTAGGATCACTTGATTAGTATCTCTGGGCTTTTGAAAATAATTGGCCCAGTGTTAATGTTTTTTTTAAATTGTTCTAATGGGTAGGTACAGCAGAGAGCACCATAAATGATTAAAGGTTTAGGAAAGCTAGGGAATTATTTTGGCATATTAAAGAGGAGACTGAAAGGGAAATCCAGTCACTGTATATGAAGTTTGTGTTATAACTTTAATTTTCTGGGAATTTTAAATTATTTAAGATCTACTGTTTTACCTGGAGACAACTGTTTCAAGCAGGAATTGAGGTAAGGATCTTTGTTGAGCTTTGAGGTAGTCCTGGGTTCCATTAATAGATGTATCATTTACTAACAGAGCAAGATACAAAATCAAAGTTCCACTTCCCCTCTGAAATAGGTATGCTGATAATAGTACCTCCTTCATAGAACTAAGCACGTTAGCACATAAATCCCTTTAGCACAGTGACCAGCACATGATATGTACTCAAAACCTAGCTCCTTCTAAATATAAATAACTTCTAAATGAAAAGTCAGTTGTCAGTTACATTTTCTGTGCAATTGTGACACACACACACACATTTCTAGTTGGTTTTAGAGATGGGGGTCTTTTAAGCTATTTGCCTGGGCTGGCCTCAACAGTGATCCTCCCGATCTCAACCTCCCAAGTGGCTAGGATTACAGGCGTGAGCTACGAGTGCCCACTCCCTGCTCTTTTGTATTGGGTTACTAGGGACTCGGTTCTGTATTGTTCAGTTTAATAGATTAAGGAATCGAGGAACAAAAGGGTATCTCTCACCCAAAGCATGTTATCTAGTTATTGTAAGAGCCAGGGTTAGATTTGAAGTATTCTGGTCTGGGATCAGAATTAGTCCACAGCTGCAGCTTATTTTATTAAAAGAATAGTACACTAAAACCTTTGATCTATAGCTTAGTGTTGGGGTGCCCTCAAGTACCTGAACCCTATGAAGGAAATCCCAGTGTTGGTACCCCTGATATCTAGAAATTAACATCAGAAGGTAAGATGCACTCAGGAAAAACAGTGGAAAAGATCTTAAATAAATTCTGTGCTATGATGAGGTGACCTGAAGAAAAAGTGTTAATGATTGGCTAGTGACCCTTATAAAGGACACACCTTCTGAAAAGTGGAGAGATCTATTACTTGAGTATCTTTTGTATGCAAGACATTGTGATAGATACATAAACTTCAACCTTTGAGGTAACCTAGCAGAGTAGATAATACCCTTGCTTTGCAGATTTTGAAGCTGAGATCCCCATTGATCTTCATCCTTTGTCCTTTTCTTGTTCTTCCTACCCCCAAGCACTAGCTTTCCTTATTATTTTATGCTCCAGTCCCAATTTACTATATCTACTATCTAAGCTGAATTCTGTTGTATCCAGACTTTTTTTTGGTGTGTGTTAGGTGGGGGGTGGGGGCTGGAGTTTGAACTCAGGGCTTCATGCTTGCAAAGCAGTCGTTCTACCATTTTACTCCAGTCCATTTTACTCTGGTTATTTTGGAGATGGGAGTCTTGAGAACTATTTGCCTGGGCTGGCCTCAAACAGTAGCCCTCCTGATCTCAGCCTCCCAAGTAGCTAGGATTACAGGCATGAGTCACCAGTGCCCAGCTGTATCCAGGACTTTTGTACACTCTTCCTCTTCTGTAAGAACAGCTTTTCTTTAGCAGGCTTACTGGGCTACTGTGCCTTACCTTACAGCACTTAGCCTTAATGTTCCATTTTTAGAGATTTTGCTGATCCCTCCACACTAGACTATGTTTACTTCAGTGTGCCTAGTAGCCCTATTAGGATTGAGTTTGTTTGTGACTTCCTGTACTTCATTGCAAGCTCCTACAAACTCATAATAGCCTTCACTCAACATCTGACACTGTGCTTGGCACATAATGGACAATTAGGATTAAATGAAGTTTAGAAAAGTTAACTTGCCTAAGGTCTCAGCTATTTATGCAAACCTGGGATTTAAATCTAGATTTTCTGACCTGCATAGTCCACACTTTTTCCTCGCTCTCACTGAACATTCAGATCACTTAGCATTTGAGACATTTGAGATTCTCTTAATTGCATAGGATGAGGTTTAGGCAGTGGTAGTTTAAAAAGCACCCCAGTTGATACTTTCTGATATGTAGCCAGAATTTTTCCTCATATGCACTGTGTTCTCTTTCCCACTAAGAAATACAGGCAGTAGAGAAGTATGAGAAAAACATATAGACCATTGTTGGTAGCTTTGAGTAGGGCTAAAAAAAAGGGGGCAGATTCTGAAATAGTAATAATAAATACATAAAAGCAAAAAATAGCAGATCCTGACAGCAAAGAGGAGCATCAGTGATACTTGTCAATGATACAAAACTGATTTCGGAGGGGAAGCAATTTAAATATGAAGAGGTTGGCTGAAAACATGCCAACCTCTCTATCTTAAGTTTTT